GAAGCAGCCACAGCATGTCGCTCGGTTCCTCTACTTCGACACGGCGTCACGGGGCCAATGGCGTTGTATGGGCGCCACGTGGTGTATGGGTGCTGCGCGCGGTCGGCCATGACCGACGGCTGATTTGAATTAGCCTAGCCAATTCAGTCACCCCATGCCCCGACTGACAGCGCGAATTCATGCACCTAAATCTCCTAATCTGTTCGTTAATTGCAAAAACTTCATTAACAAGAATTGTAGAGCTACACGAGATCTACAACATTGCTTAAATGAGTTTGGGCTAGATCGGCCTAGTGGACGAACTACAACGCGTCAAACACCTATACATTGAAACTGTAACCCAATTCCAGACTTAGAAAAATTTTCAAGTGCTAGAACAGTATTTTATTGCTACTTGAGAGCTATTTTTGAGCATGCTATGCACTAAATTAGGTCTTAACCCAAAAATAAAAGTTGTTACTCTAGTCAAGTACTACAACTTTGCTTAATGGTGCACTACCATGCAAACACTCTATGCTATAGTTTAACTTAGGTCAAACATACAACTTGAAAATGGTAACTTACACTAACCATGACCTAGAGGCCAAATTGGTCCAAGTCATGAACACCAAAGTTGTTCCATATGACATTCTAAACATGTTTAGGGTACACCTAAGGTCCTACAATCATTTTATACATTGATCACATGTAAACCCTAGCATTTGTAAAGCATTTAGTGACAACACATGTAATATAAGCAATCATAGAGATACAATTTGAGATGCTCATGCTCATGAATGATCAATGATGCCTGTGCTCATGTAATGCTAATGCCAAATGCATGCTTAACACTAGGGTGTTACAAGCTCTCTCTTCCATGGCGTGATCCCAGGGATGCAGGCGTACCCACTCGGGCAGATCGACCTTCCCGTAACGTTTGGCGATCGAGCCAACTTCTGCTCGAAGGTCCTCACCTTCGAGGTGGTGGACTTTCCAGGGTCCTACCATGCCATCTTGGGGTGGCCATACCACGCCAAGTTCATGGTGATCCCCAATTACACCTACCTCAAGTTGAAGATGCTAGGACCGAACGGCGTCATCAACATGGGTAGCACCTTTTCGCACGCCTACACGTGCGACCGCGAGCATTACGAGCTCGCCATGGCCATCATCAACTTCACCGAGCTCCCAGAGCTCGAGAATTTGTCGACTCCAGCAGTCCCAGACTTCAATGAGCCGACCTCCTTGAGCGCCTTCCACCCGACCGAGGAAACCAAGGTGGTGGGCATCGACCCTGCCGACCCAACCAAGACAGTGCAGATCAGGACCAAGCTCCTGGCCAGATAGGAAAGCGAGCTTGCTGACTTTCTATGCGCCAACATGATGTCTTCGCGCGGAAACCTTCTGACATGCCTGGCATACCAAGAGAGGTCGCCGAGCACGCATTACGCCTCGTACTGAGCTCAAAGCCCACCAAGCAACGCTTGCGTCGCTTTGACGATGAGAGGGTCATGTTAAGGATCATGCTTGTTAGATGGTTAGAACTCCAGTTATACATTTTTGAAGTTAATGTCAGTTTTCTATCCTTATCGGTACAGACCTGAGATATTATCATATTTGATCATGTTAACCTGTGAGTTAGCTTTTGGAATGAATAACAAAGTTGTAGACAATTTCATTAGCTTTTCAGAAAATCCAAGATCACTTTTATTGAATGATTGTAACTCCAGTTGGTAGAAACACACGACTGCTCTACTGCTGTCCAAATTCTATGTATGCACTTAAGTTGATTGCCCATTTTTTATGTTGCTGGTGCATGCTCTAAATTATGTAACCCTAGTTACTTAGTTGAATGACTTGCTCTCTAGTGCTTAAATCAATATGATGTGACCATTCTTTATATTCATGCACTTGCATCTTGCATCTCATCTAGGTGCGCTAGATGAACCATGTGAAGGACATAATGTTGGAGCCGAACCCGAAGATGGAGTTTGGTGAATCCATCCAGAAGACAGAAAGGACTAAGCAAGTGCTGAGATGGGAGATGCTTGCCAAGCGAGTGTCGTCTAACAAACACTAACCTAGTGTTGGATCCCGGCAAGCCTCAGAGTATTCTAATCCTCCTATGTTTTTACAAATATCACTTATTCCTTTTATGTTTGATGCATTAGGTTATAAGAGTTGATTGGAACCACTTGATACATAGAACTACCTTGTCCAGAATTATACCTTGAACCCGATGTAGGTCCAGGATCGAAAGCATGGTTATCAATGCTTAGACCGATAGAAGTCGAGTAATTTCCTGTTACCTACGAGATATAGGTGGATACCAAAGCACAGTTGGCTATGTTTGCTATCATAGAAATAACCATGTGGATAAATAAAAAGAGATCAGGAAGGATTGTGATAGAGAAGCAATAAGACATGAAGGTTTTGGTGCCTATCTATCCCCATCTGTGTCGGTTAAGGACCAATTCACTGTACGTCCTCATGTCAGGTTGAACGCATGCCTAACACTTAGTTGGCCGGATAAGTCGTTCCGACCGTGAAGCCAAGTAGCTCAACTTAGGCCGGGACCCGATAAATAAAAGTGCGCACCCTGGTTGGTAGTAAGGATTTGTGGGGAGTCAATGGTGTGAGTCCAAGGGCAGGCCGGGCCTGATCTTCCTGGCAGATTGGTTGAATCTCTGAGGGTGCGGTGCTGATCGGACCCACGAAGTTGCTTCCTGAGTTGTACCAAATGTGACCTAAGACTACCTTGACGTAGGTATGTCTGGGTTTATGTTAGGAATAACTCCCCAGCTAGGTTGGAATCGATTCGAGTCGTCGTCTCTCCCGGATAGTGAGAACTTGACTGAGCAGCGGCAACGTAGCATTAATTGATGGGATTTGATGGTTATGATGAATATGGAAATGTTACACTGGCTATGGTTACTATTGCATATTACTAAATGGTATTCCACATGTTTGGCACATGTTAGTTGCTAATATAGAGATAAATAGCTATAATTAACTTGGTTACCGAATTATAAAATGTATAGCTCAACTAGTGGCTTTTATGCAAAATTTTGTCAAGCTAGCTCTACTTATAAAGCATTGCATACTCCTTGGTGTCACTTTATTTCTGGTTTATGACGGGTAAGTCTAGCTGAGTACATTCGAGTACTCAGGGTTTATCCCACCATGTTGCAGGTGAAGTTCTCGGCCTGCTGAAAATGGTGGCTAATCGCCGGTGGGCTCGATGACTCTATATTTATTTCTTATCTATATGCTATTATTGGAGGATGTCACTTATGCTAGCAATGTATTTGAAACTTATATTATTATAATCATTGAAAGCTATGTTGTTTTCACTAATCAATTTTAGAACCCAAACTTGTACTATTATTTGTGAACCCATTTGTAATATTATTTTCGCTGCAACTCTGTGCATGTGATGAGTATTTTCTTAATCATGCGATGTTGGTTATGATGTTGATTTACCAAGGTCCTTCGTGATACTTGGTGAACTACCGGGTTTATATAAGTGAAAGTATGTGCGTGTCAACGTGTTAAACGGGTACAGCCGTACTTAATCTTGTATAAATTGGACGGTTCTGTCACACACTTCACCTAAGGTGAAGGCTTTATACTTGAGCTCCTTACATGCTTCTAGCAATCCTCAACTTTGAGTGGGTCCGAGGTCGGACGACTAGTTGAACTGGTCAGACATCCATTTAAACAGCTCGGCTCCCAGTTAAACTAGTCGGATGCCTTTTCCTGATGATCGGCTACACGTCATACAGCTTTAACAAGCTTGATGCGGCGTTGCTCAGCGGATACAAAACGCTCGCGGACAAGATGTGGGGGTATAACCCCGTATACCCATAGGGTTGTACATGGGCCGAGCCGCCAGGGGAGGCCCAGCCCACCAGACAACGCCCCACGGAGCACGGCACAGGTCGGCGTACGTTGCAACGCTACGTGATGATCCTTGGCGATCAAGGACGATCTGTTCAGATATGCTAAGATACCAATCTCTGTAAAGCTTATCATATAAACCGATCAGGGTTAGATACAATGAATCAGAGATAGGCTCAACCGATCTGTAACCTTACCCCCATGCTATATAAAGACGCATAGGGTCCCCCCCCCCGATTTGATCAGATCACAATATACAATTTACCAAAGACACATGACGTAGGTATTACGTCAAACTGACGGCCTAAACCTGTTTAAATCGCTGTCTCTGGGTCTTGTGTCACCATCTAGTTCATATCTCACGCACCTTCACCTTTTCATCTACTACTGTGGGCATACCCCTCAGTAGAATGCCGGCCGTATTTCATCGAGAGGGTGTCTGTTTCCGCAAAGCTAAAGTTTAGCTCATGTTTTGCCTTATTTGAATTTATGGACTAAAGTTTAGAGGTGTCACATCAAGTGTCACATAAGGATATCATGTGAGAGTGTTCCGTTAGTAATAATAAAACAAATTACACAAGTCCTCAGTAATCCGGGAGATAAATTTATTAAGCCTAATTAATCCGTCATTAGCACATATGTTTCTGTAGCACCACATTGTCAAATCATGGACTAATTAGACTTAAAAAATTCGTCTCGTAATTTAGTCGCAATCTGTGTAATTAGTTATTTTTTTAGTTTATATTTAATACTATATATATATATATATATATATATATATATATATATATATATATATATATATATATATATATATATATATATATATATATATATATATATATATGTGTGTGTGTGTGTGTGTGTGTGTCTAATCATCCGATAATCATCCGATGCGATAGAGATTCAAGTTTAGCCGGAATAAACGCACAAATCTGTTTGCCGGACTCAAGTAAACTTTATGCCGTAAACTTTAGAACACGGCAAAACAACCCGCCCCACCCTCTCCACCGGCGGACTGGACCAAGACCAGACCCCACTCGGGCACTCACGCAGACGCAGCTTTCCCCATCCCCAGCCCACCAGCAACCTCTCCGCCTTCCGCCATCACCGCCGACGCCATGGCCTCCTCTCCCCTCCACCTCTTCCTCCTCCTTCCCCTGCGCCTCCTCTTCCTCCTCCCGCTGCTCGCCGCGGCCAAACCCGTCCTCGAGAACGGTTACACGGTCACCACCTTCGCCGACCTGAACCCGCTCCCGGCCTCTGGGCCGTACCCCTACGCGATCCTCCCGCGGCTCCACGCTGGCGACCTCCTCCTCCTCGACTCCGCCGGATCCGCGCTCTACACCCTCTCCCTCTCCTCCTCCCCCGGCGAGCCGCGCAGGCTAGCGAGGGGCAAGCGGGGCTCCGGGTTCGACGACGGCGACGCCGCCTTCGACCGGCCGCGCAGCGTCGCCGTCGATGCCGTCGACAACGTCTACGTCGCCGACCAACGCCACGGCGCCGTCCGCAAGGTCGCGCCCTCCGGTGAGCGAGCCCGCCCGCCCCCTCCTCCGTGCTTCCTTTGTTCCCCTGCTAGCGGTCCCTTCGCGCGGTCGTCGGTTAGGGTTTAGGGTTTGGCTGTTTGGTGGATGTGATGCGGGGAGTGTGAGTGAGTAGGTGATCGGGACCTTAGTGGATCATACGACCCATTTATGTTGCCTTTGGAATGTTTGTCACAACGCCTCTGCATCGCTTTCGTAGTGAGGTTCGGTTGGGATGTTCATGTCGTTGATTGAAATTTTGCTCACGTGTTCTCACTCCAAATTTGAGATGGTAGTTTTTTTTACTTATCTACAAATAATTTGTAGATGGTATATATATGTTGAATTTCATGTTTTTACCCTTAAATTACACTGAGATACTAAATTGGTAAATTCATCAAAGATTGGTTCAGAGCAGTCCAAACCATTGTATGTTTGACCCCTAAAACATACAACTTTCTCATCTCACTGGTTGCCAAGCTAACGCAATGGTATTCTACCACTTAGTATTTGGTTTTTGCCGTTTCCTACCCTACTCTGACAGTAAAATATCTGTTTTTAGTGCTTCCATGCCTGACAATTAACTACTTGGAAAGAAAAGATATTTACATGTTGGCCAATAACATCACCTTGCTCCTGATTTCTTGCTACAAATTTGTCATTGCTAGGTTATACTACTACGATTGCCGGAGGCCTCTCATCAGGGCATGGTCGCAGGGATGGACTGGCACAGAATGCTACTTTCTCGGCAGATTTTGAGCTTGTTTATGTCCCCAAAATTTGTGCCCTGTTAGTAGCTGACAGAGGAAATCGAATGGTTAGACAAATCAATCTAAAGCCAGAAGATTGTGCACATGAAAAACAGTCAGGTAAATACTGAATGGACCTCCAACTTGCTTTAACTTAATACTGCTGCATAGGTACTGTAACTTAGTAACTTATGTTTAGTGCTTGACTTTATTGTGTTTTACTCTGGCCACCTGTTATGTCAACAACATTTACCTGTCGTGGTACCAATGTCTTCCAATTTACAAATTTCATGCATAGCCTGAGATTATTTGTGCAGAAAGGCTGGTAAAATGTGCTGATTGTTCCAGTGTATATAAGTAGCTTTTCTTGATAACATGTATTCTGCCTTATCCAGATATGCATCAGGGTTTTTGCTCCATCATTCAACTTATATTTGAGATACTTTATAATTAGTTTCTACTAACTGCTTTGGGGATTCAATGATGACAACTTCATTTTTCCTTGTCTCGTATTTCTGGGCTCAAAACATTTTCATCTACAGTCTGTTAGCAATGCCTGACAGGTTTCATAAAAAAAAACAAAGCAATGCCTGACAGTGTTTTACTTAGAATAGTGATAGTGATATGGTGTTATGTGGACTCCCTGCTCCATTTTTTTTGGAGAAATCGTAAACATATACTACAGTGAATAGCCTATGTAGTTGCTAGTCTTGCTAACGGGTTTGTTGTAAAAGCTGTGACAATATCACACTGCTGATGTTCAGCTTATGGATTTGCAGGCTTGGGAACTACATCGGTGTCGGTCATTGCAATATTGTGTGCATTGCTCGGTACAATTATTGGGTTCTTAGTTCGCCATTTTTACCCTGTCAATGTGAGTATTCTTCTGCTTCAATTCTTAATTCAGAGGAGATGAATACATGCACAAATTAAGACAGTGCAATCTGAAACATATAGGCAGGAAGTCTCCATCAACCACTTTTTCAGCAGGATGCAGAAGCAATTCCTGAGGACACAGGGGAAGGCAACTCTGATCAGCTTCTGCGACATAAAAAGCGCAGTTGCTAGCTCCATGGGCTACACCCTCCTGCTTAGACTGATCAGACTTGGCCGTGGCTATCTAGCCATGGTGTTCCCTAGTGTTAGGTTACAGCAAGAAGTTCCCCTTAGGCCTTCTCGGCGTCGCCTCTGAGTTACGCAAAAACTAGCACTGCTCCTAACATTGGTCTTAACAGCAAAGCTCCCCTTCCTCCTACTGGGCAACTGGGGGATCTGATAAGCTTTGCTGGAGATGCCGGTGATAAGGAGGGTAGTGGTAATGCCAATAGTCAGGAGGGTAAGGTGCCATCTTATGAGGGTGACTTGATGGGTCTTCTCTACATCCCACCTGGCAGCGTTAAGAAAATTGATCACATGATCGAGACCAACCTATCCGGCTTTTCAAGCCGTGTGAATCGTCGTAGATTAACTGTTAGTGGTTGTAGTGTAAGCAGGAGGGTGCATGGAGACAAATAAGTTTATCTGAGCTTGTCATCGTCCGTCTTTGAGCCTGCGTGCGTGTCACCTAGGAGTACTGCAGTGGCAGAATAAATTTGTACTACATCAGCGCCAGCGTTTTCCTTGTAAATATGTAGAAGAACTTGGTGTGCCAAGTGTTGCTATATTCTATATGGTCATGGCATGTAATGTACCAAGTGTTACAAAACTCCTGGATATGCTCTTAATATTATTTCCGTTGCCATTTTGTGAAATGGAACTCAAACTTATACTATTATTTATGAATCCATTTATAATATTATTTTCGCTACAACTCTATGCACGTGATGTGTATTTGCTTAATTATGCGATTTTGGTTATAATGTTGATTTACCGAGGTTTTTCGTAACACTCGACGGACTATCGGGTTTATATAATTGAAAGTATGCATACGTCAACATGTTAAACGGGGACAGCTGTACTTGATCTTGTATAAACTAGACGGTTCTATTACAGCTGGCATCAGAGCAAGATTAAGCATAATACTATCATGTACTTAGTTTTCAAAACAAAGTTTTATTTTGAAAAACCTATTTTGACTAAAACTTTAGATACTAGCAAATTTATCAAAACTAATTTGCAAAACTATGCTAGCGACATCCTTCTTAATGCCTAGTTAAGGACTATTAGGTGGCTATCTAAGTGCTAACATGAGGGTTTTTACTTTTATCGTCCATACGGCGTGCTATTGTATGGATGTCATTCACTTGAATGGTAATGTATGGATCAATATACCTCTACATCCAGGTAAGATGGTGAGTGGCATGACCGCAAGATGTGAGCGTGCGGTCAAAGGAGAGAGGTAATTTCGATACTTAATTATATATATCTCATATATATATACGGAAGTATTTAATTGTGGGTTAGATTTGGTACGGCTATATATGCATATTCTATATGTATATATAGACGTATTTACTTTCGGGTAGTTTTGATACGGAAGTGTGTGTATATATATATATATATATATATATATATATATATATATATATATATATATATATATATATATATATATATATAAAGTATTTGGCTTGCAACCTAAAGACCAGATTTTCATTTCCGCATACATATACTTGTGGGGTTGGGCTAAAGTGGAATCTTCTGCAGGTACGCTAACCACGAATGCATAGATTGAATGTAGCTGATGACTAGCTATATATCGAGAAAGTACGTGTTATGCCACCGACATAGAACGTGATTGTCGTCTTAGGCTGGCAATTTTATGAGAACGAATAGGACGGTCATGCATCATGACTGTGTTTGTGCATAAATATGATTTCCTCACTTTATTCTAATACTAAGTCACATGTGATCAATGTGATGTTACTATCTTCCCTGTGTGAAGCTAGGCAAAATGCCTTGTTCTATGCCGCTTGAATAGCTGTGCTTGAAGATAGTGTGTGATTAGCTTTGCCTTGTAAGTTTGCTTCCAAAGGAAATAGATAACAAGTTAGTAGTTAGCAAAAACTTCACCCCCTTAAAAACTAAAACTAGTAGTGATACCTTGTTAGAAGTTTGCACTTGCTTTTCTTTTAAATATAATGTCAGGTTCTTCCTTTCAAGTTATCTTCACATTGGTTCTTTAGACGCGTGGAGGCTCGTTATCTAGGTAGTGCCGTAGCTGTTACCCCTTTTGTCCTCGGTAAGCATACGAGTATTGAAGAGCGCTATTCTAGAACAGTGTCCAAGTTTTGATAACCTCATGGTTGTCGTCTCCAATTAAGTTCTCTCTTAGGAGCCTGAGCCTGTACACGTGGTTGCTAGCCCTTGAACGTTGCGCTACGAAGACCTATATCCATGCCTTTGCTTGACTTTAAGCCTAAGCTTGGTTCCCTTGAATGTTTGCATGTGTCATGGTTGTCTCGCTCCTGTGTGGGAGGACCCTGCTCAAAAATCCTTGTCGGACCTCATTCCTCCTATAGATGATTTGGTGCAACGCTAATCGCTATCTACCCTAGCTTTGGAACCTTTTCCTCACAGATCATGTCGTTGCTTTATCAACTAAATCCCTAGTTAGTGCATTGGCTTTGTCCGTCGAATCTCGTTTATTTTATCTCCAACTCTCTCAAGGCTCGAAATGTTTATCGGTTCTGATCTCATGTTGCTGCTCGACAAGACCAAATCTCATGTTAATCTTTACCTAGTAATCACCTTGGTGGACACAAGGCATATATGGAAATTAAGCAAGAGTCCCCTGCTTAGTTGTCTTCAGCAATTAAGCTATGTTCTCTTGCGCTGTGCTTTAATCTTCAGATCGCCTCCTCGTTGAGTCCTGACCTTGTGACTACCTTTGCTTGCTATCTCCCCTTTGCATAGTGCTTATTCATACAACTCAATATGTGCAACTTGAAATTTTACTTTGGGTGTGTGATCAGTAATGGTGTCATGAGTAGCAACTACGATGCCGCGACGAAACCGAGAGCCTCCTGTGGGCACGCACACAAGGTTGTGCTGCTCGGCACGCGCTGGTATCAAGGTTCCTAGTCATGATCGATTTGCAGAATTACACCGATGTGTTATTTTCACATGAGCTCTTCCTTGGTTATCTCTCCATATCTAATCAGAAAATCCTTATATCAGAACAAAAGTAGTAGAGCTTCCTTCTGAAGTTGCAAAGAGGATAACCTTTGAAGAACTGGTCACCGACATGAACATTGGCAGACTACAAGAGGTGGTAGACAAGTGACTCTATTTGACTGTCCCTATAATGATATCGGTCATCTAGTGAGCAACTTATGTCATCCCCGTTGGATCAGAAAGGTACACAACATGTAACATTGGATAAGTTATCAGTCGAGTGACAATGGATGGACATATTATGTGCTGTAATAGGTCACCTGGTACTCATGAGCTTTCTATCCAAGTTCTTGATCTTTAGGTGCAAGATGATCAAGCAATCAAAAACCAACCTTCTTCGGTGTCACCCCTTCTCTGATGACTTCCATGGTGACTGTCTGTTTGCACTTCAACTACAATTGTTGCCATCAAAAAAGAAGTTTTGAAGCCTCAAATGTTGAGAGACAACTAATTAGTTACCAGTAGAAAGGTTAATCTCTAGCTAGGTAACGACTCTTTGGTAACTATGAAGGCTAGGTCTTACAGAACACTGTTAAGCAAATTAACAGCAAAGCCGGTCAGCGATACTAGTACTGCTTTCTTCTCCAAGCCCTGTGTCGTCAAGTCAATTCCATCTTGGACAATCACATGGGTAGTGTAAGATACCGTATCAGCTAAGTAAAGAGTCATTTACCGAGTGCTGCACTAAAAACACTCGGTAAAAAAAACACTCGGCAAAGAGGAGGTTTGCCGAGTGTCAAAAAAACACTCGGCAAAGAGAGGGTTTGCAGAGTGTTTTTTTACACTCGACAAAAAAATAAAATCTTTTTTCTAGAAAAGGAGAAGAAAAATGAAAAAAAACTTTGCCGAGTGCCCAAATCTAGGACACTCGGCAAACAAAACAAAAATCTACTTAACCCACCAGCGCCCCACCCCTGTCCCGTCCCCACAACTTCTTCCCCCAACGCCCCCTCTCCTCCCGGCCCCCAACACCCCTCCTCCTGCTGGCGCCGTCTCCCTCTCCTCCTCTCCCGGCCGCTCCTTCTTTCCCTGGCGGCCCCCTCGCCAGATCCGCGGACCCTCATTTCCCCGGTGGCCCCTACTTTCCCCGGCGCCCCCTCCTTCCCCGACGGCCCCTCCTTTCCCCGATGGCCCCCTCCTTCCCCGGCGACCCCTCTCACTGGATCCACCGCCCCCTCGCCGGATCCGACGCCCTCTCCCTAGATCCGGCACCCCTTCTTTTCCCGGTGGCGTGGCAGCGTGGATCCGGCGCCCCCTCCTTTCCCCAGTGGCCCCTCCTTCCCTGGCGACCCTCCTTTTCCTGATAGCCCCCTCCTTCCCCGGCGGCCCCCTCACCGGATGCACCGCCCCCTCGCCAAATCCGACGCCCTATCCCCAGATCCGGCGCCCCCTCCTTTCCCAGCAGCGTGGCCCCTCCTTCCCCGGCATTCCGACATCAACCACCACCACCACAAGGTAGATCTCATCGTTCTCTGCACCGTAGTGTCCTCCTTTTCTCAAATCCATCACCGTTTGATCGTTTCCCCTTCCTTTTTCTTTTTCCGGTGATGTTTTCCGGCGAACTTCCATGGACGGTCCATCTTCTCTGCTTTTTCGGCCTTCTACGTCCCTCCTCCCTTCGTGCTGCAGCGGTGCCGCTGGCCCGACCCTCCAGAGCCGTGCCTTGCGCCCCTGCTGCTACTGCGCAGTGTGGGCATCACCGCTGGCATCACAGTCTGGGCTCTGGTGGTGGCGGGCGGCGTGCGGCGTGGCGGCGGGCTTCGTGGTGCTGGCGTGGTGGTGGTGGTGGTGGTGCGTGGGTGTGCTGGCGACGGCGTGGTGGCGTATCTGGGCGCTGGAGGAGGCGGCGGCCGATGGCAGCCGTGGTGGGCGCCGACTGGTGGTGGCAATTGTTTTTTTTTATTTTTTGCAAAAAATGTTTGCCGAGCGTTTTTTGGGCACTCGGCAATTTTTTGCCGAGTGTCCGACAAAAAACACTCAGCAAACTAGTGTTTGCCAATAAAGGCTTTGCCGAGTGTCGTTTGCCGAGTGTTTCTGGGGCTTCGTCGAGTGCCCCTGGCACTCGACAAAGCTCCTGTATCCGGTAGTGGCACCTTTGCTTACATGTGGACCCTATTTAAGATTAGGCATGAGTAATGTTAAACATGCTTGTTTCATGTACATTACATCAACATGCATCCATCTTGACTAGTGGAAAAGTTTCATGAAGTTTGGAATCAAGAAGTCACATGAAATGATAAGTTATGACCTTGATTGAATTGCTTTATTAAGTAAATGGGAATATGAGATGTCAACCAAACCTTGCTATCTTGCCCAAATGACTATAATTGAACTCTACAACAAAGGTCATGAAGGGTTCGTGTTGAGCAAATATCAAGAAAAGGCCTCAATTGGTCAAA